AAAAAAAAAAAAAAAAAAAAAAAAAAAAAAAAAAATTAAAAATTTGAGGCACAAGTGTTTGACATATATAGGTAATCTAAACCAGTAAGTTAACTCTTGTTGATTGGCTTTCAGTCAGTGGTGGTGGACCTATGACACATGTACCACAGACAGCTGTTTGTAATAACTGAAAGCTCTGCAAAGATTTGCTGTCACTGACTGCTGAGTGGTGTGATAGATATATTAATACTTCATCAAACTGGTGCTTTAAGAATGATTATTTGTAGTCAGATAGATGAATTAGTAATACTCACTTTTGAATATGGTTAGGTAAATGATTTCTTCCATTGAAAAAAACACCATCTCAAAACCCACCTTTATAATTTTCAAATATTTGAGTTTAACTTAAAGGTTTCCTCTAACTTACATTTTTATTTCCTTATGAGTGGGATATCCCTCTCTTGGAGAAAACATAATTCATTAAGCCATCTACATTTTTACAGCAGAGAAAATACTTATTAGATAGGACAGCTTAGTTAACCTTTTAAATCAACAACTTGAGCCTTTCATTACAACTCTACAGCAGATGCTTAGTAAATACTTCACTGAATGGTATTAAAGGGGTCAATGGATATAGATTCCAGCAAAATATCTGTATCTCTGAGTGAGATTGTGTTTTTCCTCCTCTTCCAATGCAACTTTGTGATATGGCCTGAGAATAAAATTTAGTGCTCCATTATGATAAATACCTTGCTATAATTTTTTGATGTGTGTTGATGGATACCCGAGTCAATTTATAGCAGCTTCTGAGAAGCCTCTGAGGCCACATGCAGCCCTCTGCAGGATTTCCTGAGAGTCTGTTCAGTTGTAGAGAGAGGGCTAAGTATGTTCTTGGTGATGTAAATGTGTTATTTGTGTCCAAAATACTCTCACTTTTTGAGATGTACTTTTAAAAATGTTTATTCACTTCATCATTTTACTTTGCGTTCTTCTGTTCTCCTTTAAAAAGTTGTGAACAAATATACTCTTCATCTGAAATTAAAAAAAAAATCAGTAAACAGAAACCTGCTTTCTCTACAAACACATCAAATCATGCCTTTCCTTATACTTGTTTCCATGGAAAATTCTAGCAGACGTTTTGACTTAATTCCGTTCAGGCAGTTCCAGAGGTTGTCAGACCAGGTTTTTTTTTTAATAGTTAGCTCGAAAGATTTTTTTGGTTGTCCTAAATTCATGAGAAGTGTTCTAATTTTCTGCTTAAACTCTGCTGGGCTTCACTCTGGGGTGTTTTAGAATATGTAAGACTGCACAAAGAAACTGATTTATCTTCTTTGCTTATACCTTTTCCCAGTATACTACATTTGTCATTTTAAAGGTCAGGTGTGATAGAAACAGGCAATGTTTGTCACTTACTTTGTTTTCTTACTTGTTGGATTTTCATGTCTGAATTTTTTGAAAAATTTCATGTGAATTTCTATAAATGCAATTGCTCAATTGTACAGAGTATGATTTATAAAGAGTCCCAGGATTTTGGAATACAAAATGCTCATTGCATCCAAGATACTATTCTTATTAGCAGTATGAGCAAGAGAAATCTTTTTTTTTTCTAATTAGTGACTTCTACCAGCATTTCAGAAATGGCCTTAATTCTACGGTTAAACATAGTGGATTATAATTTGCTAGGTCCTCACTGAGATCTTTTTTAAAAATTGTATTTAAATTTGCATCTCTCTAGGATCTTTGTATTTTTCTCTCTCTCAAGAGAGCTATTAGAATTCTCCATTATTGGAATAGTAATCTCCAAGAAGTAGCAGCATGAGTGACCAACTGTGATTAGAACAGCCCAACTTCGGGGGAAAAATTGCTACTTTCATCTAATTAAGATAGAGGCAAATTTTTTTTACAAATACAAGTTCTCCTAATAACTGGGAAAGTATAGTAGTTAATAAAAGCACATAATTGCTAACAATAATTATTTTGAAACAGTAGTTCTGGGAATAGCTGAGAGTCTTATGAATGAGGTAAACATTAAGTAAGCAAGGGTATGTTTGAAAGAGGATTTATAAGAAAAAGAACTGGGGCCATATATAGAGCAACGCACATCTGAGAACGTTAGGGTTCCCTTGCAGAGTATCTAATGACATTCACAGAGATAAGTAAAAATGATAAAGATAATATCAGATTTCTGACATTTCAGTGGTGGTGTATGAAATTCACGTATACACTGGCTCAAAGCCGGGGTCAGAAACAGAGTCTAATGTATTTATCAACCTCATCGGCACCAGAGGAGATTCGGGAAAACGCAGGCTTCATCAGTCCAAACGCAACAAAGCCAGGTTTCGGCGTGGACAGGTAACAGAAAGATTTTCATCAATGGCTTATCTACCATCCTCCCTCTAATTTCTTTCATTAAAAAGGCACATAAGCACAAAATTTCCACGATTCTTGTTTGGCACTTAATAGCAGGTATGGGAAGTTTGGTTATTTTTGGTGTTGGAGATGTTGTTTTGGAGTTGAGCAGATATTGACTTAACTAGACACAATGCAACCATGAAACAGTCCTTATTTTGTCTATTAAAAAACAAAAAAACAGGGCCGGGGGATTTAGCTCAGAGGTTCGGTGGCCTGCCTCTCAAGCTCAAGGACCTGAGTTCGATCCCTGGTATCACACAAAAAAAAAAAAACCAAAAAACAAAAAACCTAAGATTTTACTTCCAGATATGGCTAGCTGAGTATGACTAGAAACATTTTATTATACATCGTTGGAGTTGGTTTTAACATTATTAGAGAGCTATACAGGCAAGACAGAAATTGCAAAGATGGACCTGGTATCGACTGAGCTCTCTGCCCTTTGAGCTTCTGCCCTTAAAGGAAGAAACCAATCAGAGAGCATCATTGGGGAGTCTGAAATGCTGTGCAGAGTTTAGGATCTGATGGATCTTGGATTCTATCTGAGCAGTAAACAGAGATTCTCACAAACCTGTATTTGCCAACTGGGGATCTCATGTGACCCTTCCCAAAGCAGAGCTTGAGGAAGTCCTGGAGGTTGTCAGTGGAAAAGAGGGCAACAGGAAGCGGTGTGAAGACATGAAGCGTGAGAGAACCAAAAAGGGCCAATACAACAGGCATTCTAGGGGCTGCTGTTGTTAGCATCAGGGGCTAGTTAGCCCCAGGGTCTCAGACCACAGACACAGCACTAGAGTCAGAAGGCCTGGAGAAGCCTCGGGAGAGGCCGAGTACAGGACAAGCTCAGGTGGCTTTCCTCTCTGCTGCCATGGTTACTCTGCTGCACAGCAGGCACCCGGCAGACAAGGCAAGAGCTCTGCATGGAAAATTATAAAATATTATTAAAACATTTTAAAAGATATAAATTAATAGAAAGATATGTCACATCCCTGTATTAACTCAATTTTATAAAGTACTCATTTCTGTCTAATTGGTTTATAGTTTTTTTTCCTTTTTATTGAGTTTATTGGTATATAATACAGTTACATTCATCATTGGGATTCTGTACCTTTACATAATAGGTCTTGATTCTCATTTTTCCCCTTGTCCCTGTCCTCCCTTC